AAGGAAGGCGGGAGCCACTATAGTTGATGATTCAGGACAGACAATATGGGCTGAGACACTTCCCCCAAACACGTCTGCACAAAAAGCAGAGTTGATTGCCCTAATACAGGCTCTGGAACAAGCAAAAGGGAAGAGAGTCACCATTTTTATGGACAGCCGATATGCTTTTAGCACTGTCCATATTCAAGGTCCGATATACCAGGAAAGGGGATTTAGAACAGCAGAGAGAAAAAAAGTCAAGAATTTGCCCGAGATCCGCAGGCTCCTGAAAGCTGTTCATCTGCCCCGGGCAGTATCAATTGTACTTGTCCCCGGTCACCAGAAAGGAGAAGACGCTAGGGCACGGGGCAATCGGGCTGCTGATGCGGCCGCTCGAGAAGCGGCCAGCCGGGACTACGCCGCCCCCATATTAGCCGTGGGACTTCCACCTCCTGGTATGGGGACTCTGCCGCCAGTCCCCAACTATTCCCTCCCTGACCTCATTTCGAGGATACCACCCTCCAGAGAGATGACAAAGATAGATGGTACTGAGATCAAAACAACAACTTGACATTGCCTGCCATCCTGGGTCGTCACCTATGTGAACACCTGCACACAGCTACACACTTGGGGGAGAAAAAGACCTTGACACTTCTCCAGACGGTCTGCCTGAGGTTCCCTCAACAAAATGCAACTGTACGAGAGATAATCCAGGCTTGCAAAGCGTGCCAGCTGATGAGGACAGGGAAAAGGCAGCACACTAGAAAGAGGTACCGAGGGGAAGAGCCAGGGCAACACTGGGAGATAGATTTCACTGAGGTAAGACCAGGCAAGTACAGGTATCGCTATCTGTTGGTTCTGGTAGATACCTTCTCAGGGTGGGTAGAAGCCTTCCCCACTAAGAGAGAGACAGCAACAGTGGTTGCTAAAAAGATCTTAGAAGAGATAGTGCCTAGGTATGGGCTGCCAGTGATTATGGGCTCTGATAATGGACCTGCCTTTGTGAGCCAGATTGTACAAGGGCTGGCCCAAGCTCTGGGGACAAAATAGAAGTTACATTGTGTATATAATCCCCAGAGCTCAGGACAGGTTGAGAAAATGAATCGGACCCTAAAAAAAAACTTTGACAAAGTTGGCAATAGAGACTGGCGGGGACTGGGAGACCCTCCTTCCCTTCGCGCTCTTTCGAGCGCGTAACACCCCTTATAAGCTGAATCTTACCCCTTTTGAGATTCTGTATGGAAGACCCCCTCCTGTGTGTACTATATTCGAGGGAAAATGCCTACCACCCCCTACCTTGGGACAATTCCAGCAAACACTGATGGCATTAAGTAAGGTGCATAGCCATGTTTAGAAATTAATTCGAGAGATACACGAGGGTCCAAGCAAGGGGACCATCCCCTCACATAATATTGGCCCAGGTGATTGGGTTTGGGTAAAATGACACCAATCTAAAGCATTAGAACCATGTAAATCCATGGCTAATTCATTTCAATGTATGACAAAAACCACTGCAATGATGTAAAGTAATTAGCCTCCAACTAATAAAAATAAATGGAAAAAAAATAAATTAAAAATACAGTCAAAAATAAATAAATAAATAAAGCATTAGAACCTAGATAGAAAGGCCCTTATGTTGTTCTCCTTACCACTCCTACTGCTGTTAAGGTCGACGGGATCGGGCCCTGGGTTCACTGCAATCACGTGCGGCAAGCCACCCCGGAAGAACAGGAGAAGGCACAAGCAGAATGGGAGGTAAGACCTCACCCTTCAAATCCTTTGAAACTGAAACTCGTACGACGGGAGCCCTCTTAACTCTCCTGCTGATAACAGTTTTCATTGGCCCAGGAGCAACCAGCCACAACCCCCATCAGCCAGCTAACCTGACTTGGGTGATCTACAATCCTGAGACTGGAGATGTGCTTAATTCGAGCTCCAACGTGGCCCCCAAAGGGACATGGTGGCCAGTACTGACCTTTTATTTGTGCGTGCTGGCGGCTGACAGTAGTGGGTTTGGTCCCCACCAACTGACCAAGTTCTTTGCCCATGGCTCTTTTGGTCTGTTCACCCGTAACTGTGAGCGAAAAGGCCCACAGTACTACGAACAGGTGCCTGTCTATGTCTGCCCGGGGGAAGGAAGGGATCAGAACCAAATTGAAAAATGTGGGGGAGTTGACTCTTTTTATTGTGCCGCTTGGGGTTGCGAAACCACGGGAACAGTCCATTGGCTCACTAACTCTGACAAGGACCTCATTCAGGTAAAATCACCCCCGAATTCCCAGAAATGTCCAACTAAGGGAGTATCATCCAAACCCGGGCAATGTTTCCCATTACAGATCAAATTCACAGACAAAAGAAAGAAATTTACCAGGTGGGATGTTGGCCGAGCTTGGGGCCTCCGTCTTTACAAGACTGGCTATGACACAGGATTCTGGTTCGAGCTTAAATTAAAACTGGGACCGCTCTATTTGACACCCAAAGTAGCCTTAAGACCAAACCAGGGAACAACCCCAAAGCCTCCCTCCCAGAACCAAAGTCAGGCTAATAGATCGACTCCACGCACCGTGGGACCCCCCCAGGGTTGACATGTCCCCACCAACAGACCCCCTTATGAAAATGATCTCCTCAGCTTATCTCACCCTAAATGCCTCTCATCCAGACTTAACAAATGGTTGCTGGCTTTGCTATAATATTAGGCCTCCCTATTATGAGGCGGTTGCCTTTTCTTCAAGATTGAATGTGACCTCTGATGTCTCGACCTGCAGATGGCAGCAACAACCTGGGTCAGGCCGGTTGACAGTAGGCTCCATTACGGGCATAGGCACCTGTATAAAAACTATCCCTAAGACTTATCAACACCTATGTAATAATAATTGAGTCCCTAGGACTAGCCTCCCCAATTCTACTCACCAATGGGTACTTCCGCCAGAAAACGGGTGGTGGGCTTGCTCCGCCGGAATAACCCCGTGTATCCATAAGGCAGCACTTAATGCCTCCCAAGATTTCTGTGTCCTAGTACACCTGATCCCCCGGCTAAACTATTACTCAAAGGAAGAGCTGCAACCAAGGTTAGACCCATCGGGTCAATATAGGGTAAAACGAGAACCAGTCACCGCCCTGACTTTAACAGTCCTACTGGGTGCTATAGAAACGAAAAGTGAGATCGCAGCCTTAACGTTACAAGACGAACAGTATAATCAACTAAGGGCTGCAATAGATGAAGATATTGAGCAACTCAAGAAGTCCATGTCACACCTCCAAGAATCCCTGAGCTCCTTGGCTGAAAGTAGTGTTACAGAACAGGAGAGGTTTCGATTTGTTGTTTCTGCAACAGGAAGGATCATATGCTGCACTGGGAGAAGAATGCTGCTTCTACATCGACCATTCAGGGGTGGTACAAAAATCTCTCCAGAAAGGAAGAGAGGGACTAGCCCAGCGGAAGAGAAAACGAGAAGCCCAATAAGGCTGGTTTGAATCTTGGTTTCAGCGCTCCCCCTGGTTGACCACTTTGATTTCCACCCTCCTGGGTCCACTCATAATATTAATATTGTTACTGACCTTTGATCCATGCATTTTAAACCGTCTGGTCTCATTTATCAGAGAGCGCCTAAATACCATCCAAATTATGGTATTGAGACAACAATATCAGTCAGTTTCACAGGGTGAAGAAAAAGTACAAAGACAGGGGAGAAATGTGAGGCTGTCACTGCTAACGCCATGACAGGCAGCCTAGATTAGGAGTGGGCCTAGTTTCCCGGGGTAACATAATTATCAGGCCTCCTGGAGCTAGCCAATCAACATGTGCCTAGCAAGAAAAAGGGAACCTATCAGGGGAAAGCTGAAAGCCCCACGTTGGACAAACAAAAATTGCCTTGCAACTGTGTAACCAGTCCGCTTGTGCCAACTACCTGCTGCTATTTTTTACCTAATAAATACCCGAGAGAACTGGGGCTTGGGGCCTTTTCATCCTCACACCCTTGGTGAGGGTGGGAGGCCCTGGCTCGAGTGAGTAATAAATTCCCCTATTGCAAGTTGCATTGTTTCGAGGAGTCTTCTCTCCTGACCGGGGACTCAGACTATGGGCAGAACAGTGGGTAGGTAGGGGGCTCATCTGCGGGGTCAAACTCCGGGCGTGCGGAAGGTTGCAGTCTGCGGTTAGTTGAGGAAGAAGAGCCCTTTTGCTTGGGAGGCAAGGTGCATAGAAGGACCTCGTGGGTGGAGCAGGCCTGGCATAGGGAAGGCCTGCTCCGAAGGGCCCAAAAGGCTTGGCCATAGGGGATCTCCGACCACTTGCCATTCCATTTAAGGAAGTCAGTGAGATTTTGGAGAATGTTAAAGTCAAATGTGCCGACTTCAGGCCAGCGGTCTTGATTGTCTAATTGGTACTGAGGCCAAATCTGTGTACAGAGTTGCTTTAAGCGGTTAGCTTTGAGTTCAGTGAGTGAGAGTGGTTTGAGATTTTTGAGAACACAGGCCAGAGGGGAATGTTTTGGGACAGATTGGCCAGAACCCATAATTGAAAGGCAAGCAGAGGCTCCTGTTGGGAACTCGAGTCGTCACCCGTATTCACAATAGGAGTTATGAGAAGAGAGCTCTGTGTCAAGGTGGAGCATCCCCCACCATCGCCTACAGAGTGGCCCTGGGCTGGGGGTCCCCGGGACCCAGAGAGGACTGAGCTATAGGGCGCCTGTAGAACTCTGTCCGGACCAGATCTCACCTTAATCTAGGGGCCAGCTTGAGTGGAGTGTTGCATGTAGAGCAGTCGAATGGCAAGAGGTCCCTATTCTGGAGGTCGTTGGAGAGAGAGAGAAAAGGGGGTAAAGCCAAGGCCTGGGGATACGCAAAGCATCAGTAAAGCCTTAGCACAAGGCTTGCACCGCTCACGGAGGCCCTAGGTGTCCCCAAGGGGAACTTAAGAGCCCTGGCAGAGAAGTGAGCTCGGAGGATGTTCCATGTTCATGTTCCCAGATTCCAGGGAAAAGGGAAAACAATGAGAGGGAGGGAGAGTGAGAGAGAGTGAGATGAGCACCTCGCCCTCTCCCAGGTTTCGGCACCAAGAATGTAAGGTACAGTTCAGGTGAGGCAGAAAAGGAAAAACGACCTCAACAGAAGTAGGTTACCTTTATTCAGGCAAGGAGGGGTGACAGTCGGCCTAACGACCAGGCTGAGTGCCAAGAGGGATCAGGGAGGCTCCATACTTATAGGGAGGTTTGTGGAAGCGATAAGGGAAACGTTAATCTGGCGGGATATTTTGAGTATCCTTTTGTTGAGATGATATTTGTAGTTGGGCAGGGGGTGATAAGTCTTCCGGGCAGGCGTAGGGGGTGCAAAGTTTCCAGACAGGGGGCGATAAGTCTTCTGGGCAGGTGTAGGGGGTGGAAGGTTTCCGGACAGGGGTTGATAAGTCCCAGATAGATGCAACCGGCCTGGGGCATCAGGGTGGAACTAAAATTCTGTTTTGTTTTCTCCTAAGTTAGATGATTCAGCAAGGGGCCTTTGAGACTGTTGTTCTCTTTTCTAGGCCCAAAAGACTCCTTCAGGCTCTGTACACGATTCCTGGGTGCCGAGCCCTGCGGGGTACCTGAGCCCCACATCCATGGAGGAGCCTGCCCACCAGAGCCCTGTGCTCCTGGGAGGGGTGTGTGAATGAGCGCCCTCTCTGTGAGCAGGCACAGAGTGGCTTAGCGACCTCCCCGTGGGCAGCACTGGGATGAGATGAGAACTGGGACACACAGTGGGACCCTGAACCCACCCTGGGCCCATCCAGGGGGAAGAGGTCGGTAGGCAGGTCCTGGCCACTGTGCTGTGTGTGGGAGGCCCCACAGGAACCCGTTGTTTCTTAAACCTGACACCACGGAGGCCTCCCCAGGATAGGGCAGACAGCCTGCCCCGGGTGGTGGGAGCTCCTGGTGACCTTGCAGGGGCCGTGAGAGGGACGGGCCAAGCCAGAGGGGAGTGAGCACCCAGACAGAGCCAGGGGGTTCAGAGCCCGAAGGGGGCCTTTCTGGTCTGAGGAGGGAGTGGACGAGCAGGTGGTGAGTGTGACCCAGGAAAGCGGCCCTGGTGACGTGAGGCTGAATCCGCTTCAGAGGGACAAGCCTTCCGGATGATCCCAGAGACAGGATGTGAAACAAGAGTCCTGGTAAAAGAAGGTGAGTGAGTTCCCCTAAGAGGAGGCTCTGTGAGCTGCCCTGGGAGGGGGTGAAGGGGCAGACGTGAACCTGCTATGAATGGGCAGTCACCCTGGGCGGGGGCGGGAGGCACAGACCCCACTCCATGGCCCCAGCCTGTCCTTCTGGGTGGATTACTTGGCTGGTCGGAGCCTCAGCCTCTCAGCCTACTTGTGGGCTGATGGTAGCACAGACTGACTAGTAATTTGCTCAGAACAGGGCAGAAAAGGGCCTCATGGAAATTCCACAGAACACTATCAAGATGAGACTCACAGACGCTGTTTCCTGCGGGTCTGTCTTCAGGATCCGGAGAGCAAAGGCGAGGAGACTTGTAGCAGAGCCTGGGACGGGCTCGGTTTTGGTGGTTGGTGGAGTAACTGCTCTCGTCTCCAGGTCCTGCCCTTCAGGCTCTGGGTCAGGGAGCCCGTGAAGTATGGGTCCAGCTGTGCCCACCTTTGAGGCCTGGAGGGGTTGGGCAGGAAGCACTGGTGTGGTCATCACCTGTGCAGAAGCTTGCAAAACAGGGTCCAATAGGAGCTACCCCACAGGTGGGCTCAAGTCCACAGCACACATCCGCTTTTAGAGGCTCTGTTTGTTTTCTAGACACAAAGCAAAGTCCTAATACCCAGTACATCCATGGCCTATGAAAAGGCACATCTGATCTGGCTTCAGGTGCTGCTGTTGGGTCCCTCCCGACTGGAGCACGGTCACCAAGTCATGGTGGCAAGGTGGTGCAGGTGTCGGGGAACAAGAGCACACAGCCCAGGCGCACGAGAAGCCGTGCTGTCCAGGGAACCGGTGCTGTGGCCATGGGTGCGCCCTCCACCCACCCCACAGGCAGAGACCACTCATCAGTCGCACAGACCCTGCTCTGGCCTGAGCCTAGCTGAGGTTCTCTGCATCAGTGGGGAACGCTTCTTTTTTTCCATTTTGGTTCAAGTAGGCAAATAATGAATAAGGAAACAAAAGCTGAGACCAACACACCAAAGGCTTTATCCAGTGGCCAAACACTGGAAAAGCAAGAACTAAATACACAGTCAACTTCTCACACACCCAGAAAGTTATTTAATTTTATTAACATGCAATCAGCTTGGTAATTGACCAAGAGGTCTTCAGGGCAAGGCTTACCTGAGCTCAAGAAACCTAGATGAACAGGAGTTTCTCTAAGGCTCTGCATGCCCTAGAAACCAGAGATGGGCATGAAGAAATGCTGCCACCTTTTGGCCGTTTCCCATAACAACAACTTTAAATCCAGTTGGGCAGATGGACTCGACATTCACAAGGCCTGTGGGGCTGTAAGTGACACCTGCCATCAAGTAACGTCCCCAGGTAAATCGTCGGAACATTTCTCCAAAGAAGACATAGAGATGGCTAACAAACACACAAAAAGATGCTCAACATCACTCATTATTTCAGTTCAGTTCAGCCACTCAGTCATCTCCGACTCTGCGACCCCATGAATCGCAGCACACCAGGCCTCCCTGTTCATCCCCAACTCCCAGAGTTTACTCAAACTCATGCCCATCAAGTCGGTGATGCCATCCAGCCATCTCATCCTCTGTTGTCCCCTTCTCCTCCTGCCCCCAATCCCTCCCAGGTTCAGGGTCTTTTCCAATGAGTCAACTCTTCGCATGAGGTGGCCAAAGTATTGGAGTTTCAGCTTCAGCATCAATCCTTCCAATGAACACCCAGGACTGATCTCCTTTAGGATGGACTGGTTGGGTCTCCTTGCAGTCCAAGGGACTCTCAAGAGTCTTCTCCAACACCATAGTTCAAAAGCATCAGTTTTTCGGTGCTCAGCTTTCTTCACAGTCCAACTCTCACATCCATACATAACCACTGGAAAAACCATAGCCTTGACCAGATGGACCTTTGTTGGCAAAGTAATGTCTCTGCTTTTTAATATGCTATCTAGGTTGGTCATAACTTTCCTTCCAAGCAGTAAGCGTCTTTTAATTTCACGGCTGCAGTCACCATCTGCAGTGATTTTGGAGCCCAAAAAAATAAAGTCTGATAGTTTCCACGGTCTCCCCATCAATTTGCCATGAGGTGATGGGACCAGATGCCATGATCTTAGTTTTCTGAATGTTAAGCTCTAAGCCAACTTTTTCACTCTCCTCTTTCACTTTCATCAAGAGGCTTGGCTTTTCAGTTCCTCTTCACTTTCTGCCATAAGGGTGGTGTCATCTGCATATCTGAGGTTATTGATATTTCTCCCGGCAATCTTGATTCCAGCTTGTGCTTCTTCCAGCCCAGCATTTCTCATGAGTTCCAAAGAATAGCCAGGAGAGATTAGAAAGCCTTCCTCAGCAATCAATGCAAAGAAATAGAGGAAAACAATAGAATGGGAAAGACTAGAGATCTCTTCAAGAAAATTAGAGATACCAAGGGAACATTTCATGCAAAAATGGGCTCAATAAAGGACAGAAACAGTATGGACCTAACAGAAGAAGATATTAAGAAGACGTGGCAAGAATACACAGAAGAACTGTACTAAAAAGATCATCAAGACCCAGATAATCACAATGGTGTGATCACTCACCTAGAGCCAGACATCCTGGAATGTGAAGTCAAGTGGGCCTTAGAAAGCATCACTATGAACAAAGCTAGTGGATGTGATGGAATTCCAGTTGAGCTATTTCAAATCCTGAAAGATGATGCTGTGAAAGTGCTGCACTCAATATACCAGCAAATTTGGAAAACTCAGCAGTGGCCACAGGACCAGAAAAGGTCCGTTTTCATTCCAATCCCTAAGAAAGGCAATCCCAAAGAATGCTCAAACTACCGCACAATTGCACTCATCTCACACTCTAGTAAGGTAATGCTCAAAATTCTCCAAGCCAGGCTTCAGCAATACATGTATCGAGAACTTCCAGATGTTCAAGCTGGTGTTAGAAAGGGCAGAGGAACCAGAGATCAAATTGCCAACATCTGCTGGATCATCAAAAAAGCAAGAGAGTTCCAGAAAAATATCTATTTCTGCTTTATTGACTACACCAAAGCCTTTGACTGTGTGGATCACAATAAACTGGAAAATTCTGAAGGAGATGGGAATACCAGACCACCTGACCTGCCTCTTGAGAAACCTGTATGCAGGTCAGGAAGCAACAGTTAGAACTGGACATGGAACAACAGACTGGTTCCAAATAGGAAAAGGAGTACGTCAAGGCTGTATATTGTCACCCTGCTTATTTAACTTATATCCAGAGTACATCACTCATTATTAGAGAAATGCAAATCAAAACCACAATAAGGAACCATTTCATGCCAGTTAGAATGGCTGCTATCCAAAAGTCTACAAGCAATAAATGCTGGAGAGGGTGTGGAGAAAAGGGAACCCTCTTACACTGTTAGTGGGAATGCAAACTAGTACAGCCACTATGGAGAACAGTGTGGAGATTCCTTAAAAAGCTGTAAATAGAACTGCCATATGACCCAGCAATCCCACTCCTGGGCATACACACCGAGGAAACCAGATCTGAAAGAGACACGTGTACCCCAATGTTCATCGCAGCACTGTTTATAATAGCCAGGGCATGGAAGCAACCTAGATGCCCATCAGCAGACCAATGGATAAGAAAGCTGTGGTACATATACAGAATGGAATGTTACTCAGCCATTAAAAAGAATACATTTGAATCAGTTCTAATGAGATGGATGAAACTGGAGCCCATTATACAGAGTGAAGTAAGACAGAAAGAAAAACACCAATACAGTATACTAATGCATATATATGGAATTTAGAAAGATGGTAACGATAACCCTATATACAATACAGAAAAAGAGACACATGTATAGAACAGAATTTTGGACTCTGTGGGAGAAGGTGAGGGTGGGATGATCTGAGAGAATAGCATTGAAACATGTATATTATCAATTGTGAAACAGATCCCCAGTCCAGGTTGGA